CGCCGAAGTGATGAAAAATGCCATAAAACGAGCCCGTATAGCAATCAATTGTGGCGGCGCCCATTTGGCCGATATCATCTTCTCATCTTGACCATAAAATTCTAAAGGTTCAAATAAACATAATCAAAAAACAGAATCGAACTTTTTAATTTAGAAAAAAAATGAGAGCCAAACAACATCGGATGACTTCTTTTGGCCCACCTTGTATTTAGTAATATTTTATTCTTTAATTACAATTTTATTTTCCCGACCCTAACAATGTTTAAAAGCAATATTCACGTTTGATAAAATTTTTTCCCAACTCCCATAAGAGCCTGAGTATAACAGCATAATTTTTAATATTATTTTTCAAAAAACTACTTTGGCAATCGATCTAATACTTTTACACGAGGCAGTTTGCATATTTATTAGCAGATTTCAATTGCTTTGAAAACTTTCTTACCATTTTTTTTTCGGAATTGAACCTCCTTTAAATATTTCCCCTGCAACAGTTAACTAACCATATCACATACAAAAATCTAAATAAATATTTTTTACACACACACACTTTGTAAACAGTCACAGAATGTATATTTAATACTTGCACTATTTTCAAAAAAATGTCAATTATCAATGGTTGCTTCAAGGCTTCATGGATTTTTATCTAGAGCACTGTTCTGTAGTGGAGTAGTACAGAACATTCATAAATGTTTACAAGCCATGTGATCGTCAAGCTTAGGCAACTAACTGCACGGCTGGTACTGCCAACTGAAAATCCCTAAATCTTAATGTCACCAATATTAATGATTCGTACACAAAATGCAATGTCAAACCGTTACATTTAAGCTCGAGACAATGTAATCGCTGATTGGTTGAATAGAATCTCGTGAAAAATTACACCAATCACCAGCCAGTAAAACAGAATATTGCGGTTTAATGTAATCTTGATCTTATTGTTTTAATAATTTTTAATGTTACCGAAATTTAATGGCCAATGTAAAGGAAAAAAATTACTGTTCCAAACAAAATTACTTATCACTTGGCTTGTAATCATTTATGAAGGCTCTGTATCTACTGACTTGGTTGTAATTGTAATCTGTAGCATAGAATCAATTAATAGTAAAAATGAGTGCCCAGCCTCTGATAATAACTGAGGATGTTTAGGCTAGAAGAGTACTTCAAATGGGCAAGTTATTAGAAAAACAATGGAAAGTTGTTTCATTTTTCTGGCAAACTACGTGTTGATTTTCTCGTTAGTGATATCATCCCATGCACATCGGTACACCACTCATTTATTATATTCACATTCTAACGAAGAAAACGAGGTATAGAATACATTCTATAGGAACAATCAAGATGTACTTAAGGATTAGGTAAGTGTAAAATATAATTTAATTAAAAAATATTTCTCCAAATCTTTCTAATATACAGGGTGTAACTTTAAGTGGGAGTCAAGTTTTTTTATGGTCAATAGTACGTATTTTCCTGAATATGAACCTGAATTTTTTTTTTTATAAAATAAATATTAAATTTTAAACTGCACTTTAATTCCTGTGTATGCCGCCACTGAATAGTGTAAACGAGTGCACCCCGAATTTACATATGAAGTTGTATTCCTCACTGCCAGCGTTGCCAGTTGCTTTCATATCAACTACTACATTGTGCAAAATAATAATTCTTTCTGTTGTTGCTAGATTTCTGCAGTAGCTACTCAAACAATATTTTTTTAAATGGCAACACCATATTTTTTTAACATAATTTGACAAACCTTCAAATTCTAAATAGAAAATGTTGTCACATTTCTTATTGGAGTTGCAGTTACTAAGATGATTTTGAGCCTTTTGCAGATCCTTGGGCACACACTACCAGTTGTTTTTAGTTTTATTAAGTTATATCTGTCACTGTCACTTTAGGAAACATCTACATAAGCTAAAGCTTGTAGACAGTCCGGTCTGCCGAGGATGTGAATCGGCGGATGAAACTTCTCAGCATATCCTGGGCGAGTGCCCGGGATTTGCACGTAGTAGAATGGCGCTCCTGGGGAGACCTTATTTGGAACCCAAGGAACTGAGAGAAGTGTCAGCAAGGAAGCTTTTGGACTTTGTAAAAAGGACAAATCTACTTGCTGAATAGGACTAATAGTGGGACGCACAATAGGCCTAATTAGGCCGCGGTGCTAAGGGACTTATTAGGACCAACCACTAGGAGAAGAAGTTATATCTTAAAAACTCCGGATTTGGATGAGGCTTATCGGGATGTCTTGTGTGGAATTCAGAGCACGCATTGCATAAACTTAAGCCACCAACATGAAGAAAAATTAATTCAACTTTCTCTTGTGGATTAAATAACTGATTCATCTTAGGAACTAAATTAAAACATTATTTTTTTATACACACTCAAATACAACAGCTGTCAAATAACACAATGACACTACAATAATGATGGCTCCTCTAAAACAACACAATTTTTGTTTAATTTCCAAGACTTACTACTGCTATGTTAGCTGCTTTTAGTTCCTGCCGATTACAGATTATTTTTTATGTTTTTGCCGATTGTTCTAAAACGGGTACTCCAATAAAGAAATGTGACATAACATTGCCTATTTAGAATTTGAAGGTTTGTCAAATTATGTTAAAAAAATATGGTGTAACCATTTAAAAAATATCGTTTTAGTAGCTACTGCAGAAATCTGGCAACACCAGAAAGAATTATTTGTAAATTTTTCTTAATCAAGTTATTTCATACAACTTTGCATTTAGAAGTACTATTCTATCACTTTAAATAAAAAAGTTGGCCTATGTCTGGTTTTTAAAAAATAGCACTGTATTTATACCTATATACTAAAAGGGTCTGTATCTTTAATAATATTAAGAATTCATTCTTTTATGACATTGACCTGTAGAACTAAATTAAACTGACACAAATCCAAAGACCTCAAGCACGTAATAAATACTGTAAAGTTTCTGTAAGCATGAGAGCTGATTTAAAAACTAATTCCCAGTAATTACCACCTGATTCCCAGTGATTGCCAATAGATTCTCAGTTATTCAAAATTGATGACTAATCGATTGTCTGTGGAGGTTGGCACCTTGGAAGTATCCCATTTTTAATAAAACATCCTATATAATTTAACTCAAAAATGAAAGTCTATAAAGGCATAACAAAGTGACATGACTCCGAAGATAAAGAATACATTCATTTGCTTAATTAGTTTAAAAAATTAAGAAATATTTTTTATAAAAAAATATTATTTATCCAATTTCTCAAATTTTAGTTGTATAAATTGATTTCTACTGGTTATTTAAATGAAACTTTCACCATGTTTTTTTATCTAATTGAAATTGTTCTTTTTTTAATTTTAAAGAAATTAAATAGGTACTACTTAAACAAAAATTAGTATAAAATTCGTAAGTTTAATCAGCCTCAGGTTATCAAAAACAATTTTGTAATGGAATACTTATTATTATAATTTTTAATGTGGTATCTGATGTAATTAAAACCAATTATTTTACTAATAATCTTTACATAGAGCATTCTATTTAAAAAAGCAGATATGAACTACTCTTATAAAGTTTCAGCAATTTTTAATTTTAGTAGAAAATTTTCTGAAGAAATGAGAATATCAGATCTGGTATTTTGATCAAATATTTAATCTACTACTTATATTTAGGTATAAAAAACTAAATATGAGAATTGTATAAAACATATAATAATAACCAACTCATGTAAACATTTCTGGAATTAATGGGGAACTAATATTTTATTGGGATAGGTTGTTGTTTTGATAGCTATTTAAAAAGTTAGGTTATGAAGTAAATGTTGTAGAAGTAAATGCCAAATAATTTAATTGAAAATTATTTTTGTTATAAAATTACTTTAGAAAATATTGTTTATTAAAGCAAATAACATGAAAAATTGATGAAATGATTGCTAATCGCTTATTATTTAATTGCGCCACAAAACTGTCACACCCACAATGCATAAAAATGACAGGAAAGTTAACCCAAAAAAATAATATACTCACTCGTCCCCATCGGGGCAAATACCCGTTGTTTCATCGTATTTTGTACAGTAATTATCTGCACTATAATTAAAAGTACCATCTCTACGACGTACGGGCCGCCGTCGCCTTTGGTTCATAAAATGCCAATGAAAACAGGTGAATGGTCGATGCTGTGTACATTTGTGTTGTAAGAAGAGCGGGCATTGCTCAACGCGAAATTCTTTCAAATATCTAGAAAACAACACAATATTTCAACATAAAGCCACTTCCAAATACACAAAATTAATTACAAAGTATATCTTAACAGTCAACACGCACTAAAAATGCACTTACGAGTAATGATTTGGTTTTTCTGTTTGGGCTGTCAACAAAGGTTTAGACTCTGACGGCATTTTGTAATAACTAACCGCGCACTCAATTTGCGCAGGGCACGCTCATAAGTTGCCAATTAAATTTGATTTTTCTATCACGTGAAATTTGAGTTGAAAGATGTATGTATTCTTTAGAAGAATTCCAAACGACTTTATCAGTTTACCAGCAAAGCTACTCAAAAGTGAAAGTTATGAAACAATACTTTAAAGTCAATTTTATTTATATCAGGGAAATTCTTAGGGGAAACGGGTTAAAGAAGACTAGTGAAATTAGTAAATAATACTGCTACATGGATATCCCCCCTGCAACTCCGGACGAACTAAGACTAACAATACGCAGACTTAAAAACAGAAAAGCCACCGGACCCGACAATATACATAACACGACACTTAAACGACTACCACACAAGGGCCTCATGGCCCTACTAAACATAACAAACGCGACACTCAGACTAAGACACTTCCCTACCCGCTGGAAAACAGCAAACATAATCCTTATCCCAAAACCCAACAAAGATCACACCATCCCATCCAACTACCGGCCCATTAGCCTGCTCCCGGCTATGAGCAAAGTGGTAGAAAAAATTATCCTAACCCGTCTAAGAACCCACTCCCAAGAACTGCAAGTCATTCCAGACGAGCAGTTCGCCTTCCGACCCAATCACTCCACTGAACTCCAAATCCTTCGCCTTACCGAGCACATCACGGCGGCCTTCAACAGGGGACAGTACACTGGTGCTGTCTTCCTGGACGTCGCAAAGGCCTTCGATACGGTTTGGCATGAAGGCCTACTGATGAAAATGCTCACCAACCAATATCCCATATCCTTTACCAAACTCATAAAATCCTACCTACACCACCGAAAATTCCGCATCCAAATCCAAGATTCCCTTTCCACCACCCGTCCCATGGAGGCCGGTGTCCCCCAGGGCACCGTCCTGTCCCCACACCTATACACCATTTACAACTCCGACATCCCACATCCCCCCAACACCAACATATACTTATACGCCGACGACCTGACAATCACATCCCAATCCGTAGATCCTAGATATTCCGTCTACCTCCTCCAAAGCTCCTTAGACCAACTTGAAACCTGGTGCAACAGGTGGAAAGTCAAAATTAATCCCAACAAAAGTTCGGCTATCCTTTTTACCAAACGAAAAATCCCACAAAACCTCGACAGACTGACACTATCCCAGGAACCCATCTCCTGGAATCGACAAACACGATACCTGGGCGTGACGATGGACCAGCGTCTCACGTGGAAACCGCACATCGTGGAGACGGTGGCGCGAGCGAAGACCACCAGGGCTAGGCTCTATCCCTTACTCAAAGGTGGAAACACCCTCAGTTTAAGGAATAAGCGAACGCTTATCAAGGTGGTACTTCAACCGCAGCTAACCTACGCCTCCACGGCGTGGGGTCACGCGGCAAAAAGCCACTTAAAGTCATTACAGGCTGTGGAAAACATAGCCCTCCGCACGGCCACCGACGCGCCCTGGTACGTAAGAAACACTGACATATTACGAGACTTACAATACACAAACGCTACACAGACAATAAGACAAAACGCGGAGAAACGGTTTGACGTAGCCGCTAGACATGACAATCCCCTCCTCAGGCAAGCCGTTGAGTTAACAGGCCCGGTCTGGCTCTTTCAGAGGCCGTCGGGAAAAATCGAAATCGGGGCCTATTTGGTTTTGTCTGTTATTAGGGTGCATATCGACTCCCCCAAGGAAAACTGTCGTATCTCAAATTTGGTTATACTGAGATAACTGCATTTGAATAGTTGAGAAAATAATAATGTTCGTTATTTTTTTATTACAAAAGCTAAATCGTTCTTCTTTAACAAAGTAATTATTGTTTAGGTCTTAATTAATTATTGATGATTTAAATAAAATAGTTTAGGATAAGAAAAAAATGGATTTTGAATGCGTTACTAGTTTTCGTCGACAAAATTTTTATTGAGAAGCAACTTGCTATACTAATAAGGTACAGAAAAATTAAACATTTTCTATTTTTAGATAAAAAAAATTGTTAATAATCAATGACATAAAAGGAAAATTTATTACGATTCAGTCTTCTTGGTCAATATTACTTTCTTCCTGGTGGTCAGTCTTACTAGTAGGCCGAAGGGAATTGTAAAATCCATGATACATCGGTGGTATCAAATTAGCCTTACACAGACCCAAAAGACCGCTTAATTTTTTACCATCAATTGGCAGCAAACTTTGATACAATCTTGGAAATTGATATTCTTCGCGTTTGCGTGTGTTTTTTGTTCGTAAGTCTAGTTCTTTCTGATTTTCTCCAAAATTATACACAAAAAATACTGTATTGGGAGACTGTATCGCAGTGGATTTCTCTGATTTTACTGATTTTTACAGCCTCTCCAGTAATATCTTTTTTCCAGTTTTGTTTCTTTACCATTGGTAAAAGTTACAAAATCTTCCTGAGATATTTCTTTTACTTTATACTGTGGGGCAGTAACTTTGGTCATTTTTATTAGACTAATCCACTGATCAGGACTATCAGGAGTGTATATAGCAGAGTGACGTTTTTTTGCAACTTCAATCATAGCATCCATGCTGTCAGTTTCATTCTGCGTGTGGCCTATTTAAAAAAAAACGGTGTGTTATTTCCAAATCCAAAGTCATTGATACATAAGCAAACATCGCAAAAACAAAACGATTACGGTTTTGACCACCGCAATTGTCGGAATAAAGAATGACCTTTTGTATGCCGTTTTCTTTAACACTTTTTAAAAAGATCCATAAACAACTTCCAATTTCATCCGGTCTTCTCTTCGATATTTGCTCATGCCATTCATAGCAATAGCCTTGATTACTGCCTAAATCATAAATTGTAAAGTTGTATGTTACGATTTTACTTTTATAATAAAAATCTTTAACTTCTGACTTGGGCGTTACTAACACCTTCTGCAAGTTAAAGCATGTTATTATTAGAGATTTATCATTTTTCGAAAATTCTTTATCAATGTCTTTCAGATTTCGAACCGCGATTTTGTTTAAATTATGATTATTACAATCATCTTCCACTTTTTCTGTTCTTTTCTCGGGATCTGTATTCTTATAGGCACTACACACGGAACACTGATCTTATTTTGGCTTAAAGAAAGCTATATTAAATTTCGAATTAAGAGTACCTATCCCTGTATTGTCTGAGTGTAGCTACTGCATCCCATTTTTGTTGTTTTGCATATTCTAAATAGGTACATTATGCGCATTCATGAAATACTCAAACCTTCTTCCAACTACATTCGTTTTGAGTTTTTTCGTGTATAATGAGAAGGCATAAGTGGAAAAAGTTTTATGTGCTCCATAATGTTTTTTATTAGAGCATCCGAGTTCTTATGCGGTCTAGTGTTGTGTTTTCCTCTTATGTCCCGTTCTACAGTACCACCTTCACCAATTTTTTGCAAAGCGGTGCTTACAACTGTTTCAGAAATTGCAAGCGTATTTAAGAACATCGTTTTGCAAATTTGTTTCCCATTGTTGTCAATGACAAACTTATAATTGCGAGAGAAATTCCTTCTGGAATATTTATTAAGTACAGTAACCTGTTTTTTTTTCTCGTTGTGTCACGCACCTTACAAGAAAATCCCACTGCCGAGTATGATCTCCAAGGTTCCAAAATTCGTCAAAAATAACTTTTCTAGCTTTTGCATTTATTTTTTTGTTGCATTTATACCTGCAAGTTTCTTTACAAGGTAATTTCATTACCTTTGCAAAAATAAGTTTGTCTACGATTTTTATGTAATAAAAATTTCATTCAAATTTTAATTTATAAATTGATTATGTCTCACTCACAGTGCAGTGTGCAACGCGCAAACGCGGCAGACATGACAGAAGCTATTGACATGCTGCCATCTGGGTCGAGCTTGCAAGGCAAACTCTCCCATCTTTTTGTAGCTCAAATTAAAGCTTATTAGTTATTTCAAGCACCATCTTTAAAAATTAAAAATATACTTTTAATATCCTTGCAGTACTTATTCTGTTTTTAAATATTTTTTTTAATAGAAAAAAACTCATTGGGATAGGTGACTTTGAATCGTCATTTCTCCGGCTCCAGTACAATCTACGAATATCTATTTGCAGTTCAAATTAAAGCTCATTTCAAGCGCTATGCTGCTATCTGTAGGAATATAAGTATACTTACCACTGCAGTACTCATGCCGCTTTCACAGATTTTATTTATGCTATAGCTCTATAGTCTACGTCCAAACTATTATTGGTTTTAAAATTATATAAAATTATATTAATATAGGTAATAAACTTAAACCTATCGACCCACGATACAGGATAAAGAAAATCAATAATAGTTTGGACATAGTTCGAGGGCTTTAAAAAATTTTAAAGCTCTCGGTTATTATTTATATTCTCATTTTTTCTTCCGAGTACATAACATACGGCTATAGGGTAAAGGGCTATTATAAGGTTAAAAGACTTACAGTTTGAGAGAGAATTTCTCTCGTTTTTCCTTCAAGCCTACGGCTTATAGATAAAGAAGATATAGTTTAAAGGGTTTACGGCTTGGAATATATATTTATTTCTCTCTTTCTTTCCTGTAGGTACACTCTTTATAGGGGTATAGGGCAAAATAATAAAATTTGTGTTAGTTTTTTCATCTGGGAAAATCCCATTTATTTTCAATTTACTGTGGCTATATCTCAAGAATTTACAAAAAATTTTCTTATACTTTTGGCGCCTCGTTTGTCGTTTGGGGGCCTATCTTCCAAAATAAGTCGGGTTTTGCCGACTGCCCGACCTGGCCAGACCGGGCCTGGTTGACTACGTAGCCGACGTGATCGACAAACACAAAAGACCTAGACACCAACTTTGTGACATGACAAACATTATAATCATTTGGTAATTTATTCAAATAAAGAAATTAATAACATTAGTCATCATTTTAATGATTTTATTTGAGTAAATGCTCAAAAATATCTCCATATTTCCACGAACACAGGCGCGACATCTGTTTAGTAACGAAAATGT